AAAAAAAAAAAAAAAAAAACCCAGTTGATTAAAGTCTCAAATAGAGTAAATGGTGGAATAGTGACTCAAGCTGACGCACTTACCTAATCCGGCCTTTGAAAAACAAAAACGATAGCAATGAGATATTCAAATCACCTTTCTGAGAAGTCAAGTTAATATCGAAGCAATGCATACCTGCTGCATTGTGTTCTCAGAAAGCCAATTGTTCTCCATTAGTTTCTTAAAAATTGCTTGGCAAACTTCAGTCTGCTGCGGAGTTGATGTGCGCCCAAATTCATCAAAACTTATATTGAACCATTGATACACCTCCTTGTGGATTGCATGATATCTGTGCATGGTAACAGAAATTAAATTTTGCATTTTTTGTTTGGCAGACGTGAGAATCACCTGTCTATACGGCACATTGTTTTCAAATCTTCATGGAGAAAATTTAAAATGGGCAAGTTCTTAATATAGCATTTTTTGTTCTCTTGCGGTTCTCAGAAAATATTTTTCTGAAAGCCCATCTTTGAAAATTGACTCAAAACAGTACCCATTTTTACAGTCCGCTGCCAACTGATTTATATTCAATCTCTATATCTTATTTCAAACTTTCGGAAACAACATAACATTTGTGAAACCAAACTGGAGACTCAAGGTGTAGACAGATCAGCCAGAAGACCACTTCACAAGCTGGAGGTCCTCAGTTCAAGACTCCACTTTGAGTCATTTCCAGATAATTTACTTGGTGCATTTGAAATGGTAAGGCTGCATTTTTCTGTGAGGATTAATCGGAAGCTCTACAAGACAACGATGCCTCCTAGTTAGCTCAACAAAACAATTAAACACCCTTTAATTATAATTTCTCATTTCACACGTGAATCAAATTGCAATTTTCAAATCAAAAACTCTACATACTGATAAACTCTTTAATTAATGAAAAATTACTTGTCGCAAATCTGCTGGGGCGTACAATTTTCCTCCAAAGCCTTCGTCTCCGTCGCCGTCCCATACTCGTCCGTCCCACACATATATATAATATTGTACCCCCGAAGTCGGCAGTACCGAGCAAATACATCAGCACTTAGTACAGCTACAAAACCCAAAATCAACAATTATAGACAAAAAAATTCATGAACATAGATGAATTATACACAAATGCGTATATATATACATATTATGTAGAGGGAGAGAGAGAGGGTAATACAGCCGATGATGTTGCCGAGATGAGGTACGTTGTTGACGTAAGGTAAAGCACTGGTGATGAGGATGTTGCGTTTGCCTGAGATTGGGAGTTTAGTGGTTTTTTTATCTTTGACGCTGAGTCCGCCGGAGATGTCTCCCATTCTGTGAATTCTAGGGTTTGATTCTCAGGAGGGAGGGAGGGAGGGAGGGAGAGCAAGAGAGAGAGTATAGCAGCAAGTATACTCTCTTTATGTCTGCAGTTTGCACAGATATAAAGCTAATAGGTATTGCGTCGTCAGACAGCAAGTATTAGGGCAGAACTAAATACGAGTTAATTACCCTTGTATTTGCTTCAAATTATACGTTTTTAAAAGTTAGGATTAATTGCACCGGAGGTTCAGAGTTTATCTCATTTTGACCCCTAATATTTCAGTTATTTTATTTTAATTTGACTTATTTAATATGTTTTTATATAGTTCTTTAAAATAGACAACATCTAATTTATTAACGATTTTTTATTATAAACTTAGCAAATGATACTTAAATATAGGTAAAAAATAATTTAGGTAACTCTTGACCAAAATTTAGATAGCTAATGATTAAAATTATATAATTTGAGTAGTTTTTTTTTACCAAAATTTGAATAAAAATTTGATCAAGAGTTATCCAAGTTATTTTTTTCTTACATGTAGAAATTATGTAATAAGTTTATACGTGGTCTGGTTGAGAGACCACATAGACATATATTTAATATCTTAGGGACTAAAATAATGCAATTAAAATATTGAGGATCAAAATGATGTAATTGTAATATTCGGGATCAAAATAAAATAAATTTCATACTTTGGAGACCTCTCTCGTACAATTAACCCTTAAAGTTAATTTTTTTTCTTTTTGAAAGGCCCCTTAAAGTTAATAAAAAACTAGAATTATAACTTACAATTTATATCTTAAACTTAAAGTATACACATAATTTTTATTTGATCCCTAAAGTTTTAATTTAAACAACTATAAAAAATTTTAACTAAATTTCAATTCAGGTCCTTAATCCAAATCTATTAATTTATTTTAATAGAAAAACGTCACTAGACTTACCTATAAAGGTGTATTTGTCCAACAAAAAATATATCTTTTTAATATGTTGGTGTCTAAATATCTCTTAAATTCTAACTCTATATTTTATTTTTTTTAGTTTTTTTTTCTTTCCCCAAATTAGATGAAATAAAATAAGGTCTTTTAATCTGCATATAACAAAAATTTGCCAAATAAATATAAATTTTTAACCAAGTCATATGTTGGTCATAGAAAGTCATTTCCTCATAATAAATTGATAATTTTTGATGTAATGATTAAAGTGAAACACAATTCCTAGTTTAAAGATTTGATTGTTACAATTAAAAACTTTAATGACTAAATAGAAGTTAGGTGCATATTTTATGGTGTAAATTATAATTTACCCTAAAAACAAACACAAAAAAATAAGGGTCAAAAATAAAAATATTGGACTAAGTTTCAATCTCACTTCACCCCTATGTTTTTATGGATTTCACTTAATCTCTCAACTCGGGAATAAACTCCAAATGTTAACAGTTGTAACAAGTTTTAAAAAAAAGATTAAATTATCATATGATTGTCATCTAATTTTCTTTGTAACGTCATCATTGTAGAACCCTAATATTTAAAAAACAAAACCAACAACTAGCAAATGAATTAGTCAGACTTTATTTTTTCATGAATATTTCATTGGTACAATTAAATTTATGTTTCATCTTATACGTGTGTTCGAATTTATATTTGAAACTTAAAGTGATAATTAAGCTCTGGGTTACATAGCCAACAACATTTGCTTCCGCAATTGAGACTTGAGTTATGTTGTGGGATTGTAGTATAATGTATTGGAGTTCTTGGAAGCCATGATCGAGGGGTGTGTGTTGATGGTTGAAGCCCAAATAGCTCAATTTATGTGACCCAAATAGCCTAATTTATGTGATAAGTCCAATCCCAATTGAGGAGCCCAACCTCATGAAAGATCCACCAAGCCCAACATAGTCTAAGACCAGTCAAACTCTCTGCTTGGCTACGTCATCAAGAGGGAGAGCATGAGAGCCCTACCTTCACTGCAGAGGAAAAAGTTCACCCTCACCTTATCTTTGACCGCATCTCAAGGATAGCTCCTCATCCTTCTCGCCCGTTGAGAAGAAGTCGTGAGCTTCAGCAGAGTAGTTGCTTAGTTGCTGTAAAGTAGCCTCAATCTGTTAGGGAACCACTATAAATTGCACGCCCCCACCAACACTTGGGGGTATCGCACTTTACTTGACCACGACTCTCTCTTCTCCCCTAAAGCTTGTACTCTCTGCTCCCTACACCCTTGAGTTAATAAAAAGCACCCGGCGACCAAAACCATTCAAGAGTGGACGTATGTCACATTGACCGAACCACTATAAATCTTGTCTCCTCCAATTCTCTCTTTATTTTTACTGCATTTATTATTTACACTTAACAGGTGGTGTGCAACACCATTTTGTGCATCATCAGTTTGGCGTCGTCTGTGGAAAATGACAAAATTCTCACTCCTAAAAATTTTATTTGCTAAACCAATGGCGATCACTACCAGATCCATGAACTAACCTGAAGACAATCCTCCACGAAAGGAGGAGGTTACTCCTCCACCTACCAACTCTGTCACAAATGCTCCAGCTCCAAATCCATAGCAAATGCTGGAGACCATGTAGCAGCTGGTAGCCAAAAACCATCAGATACTGCAACTCATGCTCGCTGGACAAGGAGGAGCACAACGTGGAGGACCCTAAGGAGTTCCACGCCCTGGACATCAAGGAGCTGCACACTCTGGACATCAAAGAGCTCCACGCCCTGGACATCGAGGAGCTCCACGCCCTGGACATCAAGGAGGTGTACGCCCTGGACATTAAGGAGCTCCACAACTTGCTGCTCCCCATTTAGGCGCCCATGCAGGTTTGGGCACCCCTTTTGGAGTCCACTTGGGTGCCCCACACAGAGGAACCCCTCATGAGGGACCTCCACCTCCTCCTCCTACTTCTCATGGTGAAACCTTCATCTCCAAGAAGATAAGGCGCGAAAACCAAAGTATGGAGCATGATAGTCATTTCCATGAACATTCTAGAGGAGCCCCCAATCACTGGGACGAGAAAATTAAGAAAGTGCAAAATCAACTGGGTGACGTCTTCAACGCCATGAAGGCGCAGGGACCCGAGACAGTGGACTACCTCATAAGGTGGACAGACACACCTTTCAAACTTGACGTGACGAACTACCCTCTCTCTCAAAAGTTCAAAATGTCATCCGTAGAGACTTTTGATGGAACAGATGATCCACTTGATCATCTCGAAACCTACAAGTCCTTAATGCAACTGCACAACATCCCTGACAAAATTATGTGTAGGGCATTCTCAATTACCTTGAAGGGATCAGCGCGACAATGATTCACCAAACTCACCTCGACCTCCATAGGCTCCTTCGATGAATTGAGTAGATTATTTGTGGCATAGTTCATTGGTGGACGCCGCCAACAAAAGTCTGCCACCCATCTGCACAACATAAAACAAGATCGAGACGAGAGTCTGAGGAGTTACCTCATTCGTTTTAACGAGGAGGTCCTCCAAATCGAGGGAGCCCAATGACAAAGTCACCATGACCACCTTTATAGGAGGCCTCCATTCATCCAGATTCCTTTTTTCAGTAATGAAGCAACCACCAAAGAGCATACCAGAATTATTGGCAAAAACTCATAAATATACGAATGCTGAGAAAATCAATAGGTCCAGGCGAGGTGAATCATCTCGCGGATTTCCAAAAGTTTGACCTGTCTTTGCACTGTTCTCAAACAGGCAGTCTCAATATCCAGCTTAACGACTCTCTCACGAGTCGCCAAAAGCTTANAGTTTGACCTGCCTTTACACTGTTCTCAAACAGGCAGCCTCACTATCCAGCTTAACGACTTTCTCACGAGTCGCCAAAAACTTGGTCTGCCTTTGCACTGTTCTCAATATAGGCAGTCTCAATATCCAGCTTAGCGACTCTCTTACGGATCGCCAAAAGCTTGGCCTCTGCGCTGTTCTCAAACAAGCAACCTCAATATTAAGCTTAGCGACTCTCTCGCGGGTCGCCAAAAGATTGGCTTCTACACTGTTCTTAAACAGACAGTCTTAATATCCAGCTTAGCGACTCTCTCATGAGTCACCAAAAGCTTGACCTCTGCACTGTTCTTAAATAGGCAACTTATATCTCCAACTGAGCGACTCTTTCACGGGCCGCCAAAAGTTTGGCCTTTGTGCTGTTCTCAAACAGGCAGCCTATACCTCAACCTTAAAGACCCTCTCATGGGTCGCTAAAAGTTAGGTCTCAAAAGGTGTAGATCTCTCATTAGCAGTTCTCCAACTCTGTCTTTGTTCTCACGCAAACAGTCTACCTCTCTCTACAGGTAATTATGTGAGATATTTTAATGTTTAGAATAACATTATTTTTGTCATCACAACCAGGCTCACCCAAGACGTTCAAACGAGGGAGCCAATCAGAGGTGTTTGACATTCTATGCTCCCCCAAACGAGGCAGCCCAGCACCTGGAGAGGTGTCTGGTCCTATGTGCTCACCCAAACCAGGCAGCCCAGCCCCTGGAGAGATGTCTGATCCTATGTGCTCCCCAAACGAGGCAGCCCAACACCTGAAAAAGGTGTTTGATCCTATGTGCTCGCCCAAATGAGGCAGTTCAGTACTTGGAGAGATGTCTGATCCTATGTGCTCCCCCAAACGAGGCAGCCCAGCACCTGGAGAGGTGTCTGATCTTGTGTGCTAGCCCAAACGAGGCAGCTCAGCACCTGGAAGGGTGCCTGACGTTCTATGCTCGCCCAAACAAGGCAGCCCCTGCCCACCTTTGCTCGCCCAAACGGGGTAGCCCAACGCTGTCTGGCCCTCCAAAGTTGCACAAAACAGCTCCAAAGGTGCCTGATCCTATGTGCTCCCCAAACGAGGTAGCCCAGCACCTGGAAGGGTGTCTGACGCTCTATGCTCGCCTAAACGAGGCAGCCTAGCACTTGGAGAGGTGTCTAACCACCTTTGCTCGCCCAAATGGGGTAGCCCAACGCTACCTAACCCTCCAAAGTTGCACAAACCAGCTCCAAAGGCGCCCAGATCAACGCCTGAAATGATACCCAGATCTGCCTCTGTGCCCAGGCAGCGCCGACTGCACCTCCTTCTCCTGATGCCCAGACATCCCAGGTTGCATCTCTAGCTCTTGATGCCCAGGCTCATGCCCAGGCAACCCCTGTAGGCGCCTAGGTTGCACCTTTGGTCCCTCGCGCCCAAGCTGTCCAGCTTCCTTGCCTGCGCAGCCTAGGTTGCCCAACTCGCCTATCTACTCGCCCAAGCTGTCCGGGACAGCATTTTCGGCACCAAAGCTGTCCAGGACAGCACCTCCAGCACCCAAATGGTCCAAACCAACCTCTAAACTTCCCAAACCAATGCCTAAAATAGCGCCCTATTCAGCTCCTACCTCTATGGAACCCTCTACTGTAGTGCTTGATGGACTAGCGCGCCCAGCTACCCCACGCACAACACCGCCGCCCAAAGGCGGTAGCTCCGCTGCCTGAGGCCTTGAATCACCAACAGGAACCATGGGTTCCCCTATTTTCGGCATCCCAAGCTCGGACAGCCCATTAGGTGCATGAATAACGGTGGCAATGGGTGCCCGAGACACCTCCATGCCGCTACTTACCTCCTCTTCAATAGCAATGTTGATTTTTCTCTTCATTGATGCTCCAACTCAAGAGTTCCAAGCTTTGGGTCTCCAAGGATTTCAAAAAAAGGCACTCATGAATAAGTTGGAAGGAGTGGGTAGAATGAAGAAGAAGGATATATTTATAGCCTAGGGTTTTTAAAGAGGGAAAAATCCAAATTAAAAATTATGGGCTCTCTTAAAAATCCTAGCAAAAGTGGGAAAGATTTGAGATGTGCACCAAAGCAAAAATACATCATGCAGAGAAAGAGTCATCTAGCAGTGGAAGTCTCCACCACATGAAACTTAAGATGTAAGTTAATGCACTCTTCTCCAAGTCTCCTTAGACACGGGGCATTGGGGGGCAAATGATGGGTCAAGCCCAAATAGCCCAATTTATGTGAGAAGTCCAATCCCAATTGAGAAGCCCAATCTCATGAAAGATCCATCAAGCCTAACATAGTCCAAGACCAGTCAAACTCTCTGCTTGGCTATGTCATCAAGAGGGAGAGCATGAGAGCCCTACCTGCACCGCAAAGGAAAAAGTCCACCCTCACCTCATATTTGACCGCATCTCAAGGATAGCTCCTCAACCTCCTCACCCGTTGAGAAAAAGTCGTGAGCTCCACCAGAGTAGTTGCTCAGTTGCTGTAAAGTAGCCCCAATCTGTTAGAGGACCACTATAAATTGCACGTGCCCACCAACACTTGGGGGGCATCGCACTTTACTTGACCACGACTCTCTCTCCTCCCTCAAAACTTGTACTCTTTACTCCCCACACTCTTGAGCTAATAAAAGCACCCGCGCGACTAAAGTCATTCAAGAGTGGACGTAGGTCACATTGACTGAACCACTATAAATCTTGTCTCCTCCAATTCTCTTTTTACTTTTATTGCATTTATTATTTACACTTAACAGGTGGTGTACAAATTCATTTTATGCATCATCATGTGTGATGAAGAAATCCATTAGGATTTGAAAACTTGAAAATTAAAATTTTAAAAAATTTGTTAAAACTTTAAAAATGGGGGTTGAATTTAGCTAATTTGAGATCAAGGAGTTAAAAAATGACCTTAGATTTGAGAAAACAAATCGTTCGATAAGTCAAAAATGAATTTATAGGTATGGAGAGAAAGAAATTCGAGAAAGAGAGACAAAGGGTCAAATTCATAATTTACACAAATCGAGTCGTGTGACCCTCCTGATTACACAAATCGTGAAACTATGCCAGATTTAGTAAAATTCAATCAGTCCTAAAAAGTTTAGGCCTAGACTACAAAACTCAACATGAAATTAGTAAATATGAATTTAGTCGTAAAAAGTTCTAGTAAAAAATAAGGTGAATTGTACTTTGCATTCTAAAAGATTTCAAAATTTTTATTTTGTTATCTGAAAAATTAAAATTTTTATATTGTATCTTTAATGTATCAAAAATATTTGCAATGTGGCTCTTTTGTTAACTTTTTCGTTAGTTTTTTCATCCGTGTTAATGAGTTGACTTTTGACCAAAAAAACAAACAAAAATTAACAGAAATGTCATATTACAACACTTTTGATATATTAAAGATACAATATGAAAATTTTAATATCTAAGGATGCAAAGTAAAAATGTATGTTGAAATCTTTTAGGATAAAAAGTACGAAAAACCTTAAAAAATAAGTGAATCACTAAATCAGTTTTAAAAATGGATCGATAACAAACTTTGCAAACATAACATTTACACAAAAATGAGCCTGTTTATTCACGACTACAAATAAATCGGGTTTAAATTGAATAAATTTTTACACGACATAATTTAGACAAGACACCCATTAATTCTAATAACAATAATGTCACGCATTCCGTCTTAAAATTAACATTTTTTTGGGCAATGAATAGCACACAAGGACACATTTATACACAAATGATAAAACATTATGGTCTTTTTCCTCCAAGTTACAAGTTAACAACTTAGCGATAAATTTTATGAAATAGACCACAAGTTGCCCTTAACAGCCTTGAAGAACTATTGAACAACCGAGCACGGTTATACATAGGTCTGTTCTCGGGTGAAGTAGGTTCTTGTCGGATTTTTAATGGGTTTGTGTTAAAAAATATCCTATTTATATCTAATTCGTGTCTAACGAATCGTGTCTTATCGGGTTCACGTCGTGTATCAATTGTGTACAACCAACGTATAAAAACTTGTATCGTATATTTTTTTTTATTATATTCAATTCGTTTATTAATCGTGTCACATCAGATCCACTCATTTACGAAATGGGTNATCGTGTCTTATCGGGTTCACGTCGTGTATCAATTGTGTACAACCAACGTATAAAAAATTGTATCGTATATTTTTTTTTTATTATATTCAATTCGTTTATTAATCGTGTCATGTCAGATCCACTCATTTACGAAATGGGTGGCTTAAAGAATATCCAAACCCTCTAATTTCATATCATATTAATGAATCGTATTATATTTTAACATGTCTAATTATACTTTCTTATTTTCAGTATTTGCCCCAATTTATATAATAAATTAGATAGGTGTTTGAACTTATGGAAAGTATATTTCTCCCAAAATTTTACATACTCAACACACACTTTTCCTCCAAATTTCAAAAACCCAATACACATACTCCACAACACACAACTACACATTAATATACACTATAACACACACATTTCAATATATGTACAGTGACTTAAATTACTAGGTATCACTAGTCCATTAATATTACCTAAAAGAATCTTAAAAAAGCAGAGGGACCCGTTGCATAATCATCCCACTACACATTGTCATCTAAACATCTTCGCCCTAGTTGATAGAGGAATAAGAGAATGGCATCGAGTTCGACATCGTACTAAAAATTACAAGGACAAAGAATAAATTGTAATTTATTTAGGGGTCACCTAATGACTCAAAAAGGTAAGTTATAATTCCGAGAAATTAAGTTTAAGATCGATCTTAAAATATTAGAATTAATCTCAAATAATTTTATTTTACGAATAACTAGAAATTGTCCTTGCTTTAGACACGATTTAATATAAAATAAAATTATAATTAAAGAAATAACATTTATTGAAAATTAAGATTAAAATTCAACAAATCTTCTTTAGAATCTTACAATTAAAAAATAAATTATTCTCCATCCTTAATTGAGAGAGAAGAAAGAGATATAAGCGAGAAGATCTAGTCTGACCTTGGTTAGACGAAAATAGATGGACAAATTAGTGTTTTCAAGTTTAAGGAAAAAAATTTTGCAAATAATTTTGAACCATTAGATTGAATAAATTTCAACCACTCTAACGTTATGCTAACTCAAGGATTCAAAATCAGTTCTGTCTTATTAGTATAAATTTACAAATAATGTCCTTCAAACATGCAGTTATATATTTATCCAACAAAAAGTATGTTTCTCAAATAAATCAATAATTCTGACCAAAAATAAATAAATAAATAAATCAATAATTTTCTGTGTGTCATAGTATATGTCAGTTTATCCAACAAAAAGTATGTTCCATTTGTACTATAAAGAGAGATGATATTAGAACAGAAAGAATATAATGTGGTTTCAGGTTCTGTGTTATAGTTGACTACAATAGCATTTCACAACAGTGGGAATCATCATCTACATACATTTACTGCAGAAACCCACACTGGGAAATGCTTCATATACATATTGCATCTCACAATTGCCAAAAAAAATAAGGAAAAAAAAAAAACATGATTTCGTAATCTCCGTTTTGAGTAAATATTGAAGAATACAAATGTCATATACTTGTTCTAGAGACTTGCCTCAATGCATTTGCAATCTCTTCTGCTGTGGCTTCACCATTAGTGTAGCTGACCAGTGGGCTCTCTTTTGGAACAATATCGTCTTTTATGTAGCTTCCTGTTGTTCTTAGCAACTCCTCAGAACCTTTCTCCACCACTCCTCTCATAATTAGTGTCTTATGAGTCCCAGATATTAGTTCTTCATAATCCGTGTCTCCCGTTTCACCAAGAATCACATACATATTAGCAACATTTAATCTCCAACGGACAAACAGGTACCTATTGATCATATCAGAAGAGCAAATAGAAGGAAAAGCGACAATCAAATATCAGAACTACTTAAAACTACATCATACTTAAGTTAGTCTCATCTACAATGAACGCTAGTAAACTCCTCCTTCGGCTCCTGTGACCAAATAAATTACTTGACCCACTCAAGTATATGACAAATAGGCAATTATCATTCTTCAGATACTGCATGGAACACAATGAAAACGATACATCACCATAAGATATATCTAGATTCCTTCATTTTAAGTTATATCCAAAGATGTTTCGAAATAAAAATGACTTATAATTGATGATAGTCTTGAACAAAACAAGCTGCTGAGAGACAGCTTAATAACTGTTTCTAAACCACAAACAGAATTTCTTGTAAATCTTTTAGAACTTATTTTTATTGGCAGATACTTGTATTCAACTTTTTAGCGGGGAAAGGATCCAATATAAATGTTGGCTACAAGTTGCCATTCCTTCAAGTTCTTTCTGAATATGTTCCGAGGGGCACTCTGACAGTGAAAGGTGTGTGTGATCTTTTTCCTCTTTTTTTTTTTCTTTCTTATTCTATCTTCCCTGTAACTCTGATTAGTATTTCCCTCCTAGATGCCATGACAGCGCTTCCACTGTGCTCACTTTAAACGAAAGTTGAGTTCCATTGTATTTTACACACAACTTTTGACCACTAACCATCCATTTCATTGGGAGGAGGAAAAGGGAATTAGGTCAGGGGTAGTAGAGATCTCAAGGTTTGGTAGGAACAGAATGGGAAGGAAAGCAAGAGAGAAAGCGACATCGTTCACCATCGGAAGGGAAAGGCTCCCTCTTTCTACATACAAACTTTTCGTTTTTGGGTAAAAAAATAAATAAATAACCCATTAAGGACCAAAATACATCTAGCAAAATATACAGCCCTAATATTATCACCATTTACTCTTCAAAAATTATTCCGCCTTCTGTACAATGGTAAAGACATCCCTTGCTTTTTATTCAACCAGACAGATAGCAAGGGCAGCACCAGTTTCCCAGTTATACTGCTACCCTCCTACCTTCTTTGCTCCACCCTCCTACCAAATGGAGCTAAAGTTCGTGTTCTAATACAGAGATATAAATGTAAATTAGCCCATGAATTGATATAAGCCCCTTAAATTTCGAGTAATCATTGACAATACCATAACCCTTACTGAGGACTCATTCTGGTGGATGGAAACAAAATGTGAAGGATTCCATTTACTTGGAACACTCACAGAGGCAATGGGTTCACCAGATATTACCTGAGAGCCTGTGCTCGAGATGCAAGCAAAGGGATCACTTGCAATCTTGTTGAGTGCCTGCAATACATCAGATGACAACGTAGACCCCGCATCCTAAGTTTCTGCCTCATATCATCCACTTTTTTTGCCTACAAAAGCCAACACCCAACAACCATCAACCATAAAATAAATCAACCAAAACAACAAAGTGGAGTTTACCAGCCAATGCTTGCATTTAAAATTTATATATTCACCTTATTGATATCCTTTATCAAGAAAGATAGGCAATGGGAATTGTTTGCTTTTACATCTTCCTCAATGGGACTCGAAGAATGTACACTTCTATCTTCTCCACCTTCAGGTGTATTCATAAGCTTCCAAATGGTTTTCTTTATTCCATCAGAACCCCAACGGTAGTCGATATGTGTTGCATAATCCGGATCTGGACAAAGCTTTCCACCTTCTTCAGTATATGTACCTGGATAGTGCACTTCGCTTCCGCTGCTGCAAATTAAAGCATCAAAATCATTTACTTTAATATTTCCTGATTTCAAGAAATCCGTCAATTCTGAAATTGGCATAGCTGTTGATAGAGCAAAGCCTGAGAATCTCGCAATTTGAGGGTCTAATTTAATGGCTCTAAATATCTCTTGCACAATTTGAATTGTCTTCCTCTGAGGAGTTCCATTGTCATCATAAGCATCAAGTGCTATGACAATCAATCGACGCCGCCTCCTCAACACGGGATATTTGCTTGGCACATTATCAAGAAGTGCCCTGTCAACTTCAGACTCTTGTGCTCCTGTTTGTGGCTTCTTCATCTTGCTCAGGACTCGTTTCACTTGGTCTTGTACCTCGGGGTCACCACCTGATGCCGCCACATGGTCGAATGATTCATTTAGTGATGATTTATCCCCATCCATAGAGAGCCTAAGGGACATATCTTGCACATCTGTAAGTGAATCATTCAGGGACTCTTCTGCAGCAAATTCATCCGCTGGTGTGTCGGTCTTCCATTGTGGATGCCTCATCCGGCACGCTGCTACCCTTGTTAAGTATGTGCGACAGTGTTCAGGCCACGAGAAGAGGTGTATGTTCTTCCAACCATTCTTCCTGCAATCATGCCATAAGTTCTTCTCTGATACTAGCTTAAGCAGTGCATCAGCTATTTCTTGCTGATTGTGAGGATCCACGAGTAGACCGTTGTTCAATGCCTAAATTAACAAAAATAACCAGTTAAATTGAAAAAATGGTCAAGCATAATTTATTTCAACATTATTCAATGTCCATTCGATTTCCCTTATGCTTGCCTTCAAATTCTTGATTTTTTGGGCTCTTTGTTGGCAACCCAATGGAAAGAAAATGACACATTGTAATGCTTGGCAAATCATCGATAATGTAGCATCTTAACGATTATATCCACCAACTATTTGTATCATTAATTTTACATTGTCTATGTATTGTGGGCGCAATTTGGGAGTGGGGTTTGGGGATTGTAGTGGGTTTAAAGAAGGCTGGGAAACTGGGGTCATCTTTACCCTGTGAATGTCAACAGGACCACCATTCTTAGTTGCTACCATCGGAAGTCCATGCGCTGCAGCCTACAATATTCCAGAAACAGGATTCAAAATCTAAATTAGAAAAACAAATTAAGATGAGCCCACAAATATGGGTTACAATTAAAACTAACCTCAATCAAGGTAAGCCCAAAAGGCTCAATGAATGCTGGATTTATGAAAACTCCCTGACATATTTACAACCATTTGGTGAATTGCAACTATATAACATTGTAAAACAACTCTCAAAAACTGCAAAATTCAATAAACCTTCATTTTGCCAGCGAGGTGGTAGATTTCTGGGACATCGCATTGCTTGTGATGTTTTGGAAAGGAAACTTGCCCATAAAGGTCATATTTATCAATGAGTTTCAATACTGTTGTAAGCACGCTAGCATTCCCACCAGACATCTCATCTATATCATCCCGATTTCCCATTATAAGTGTCTGCATAAAATTTTGTTAATCTTGTTACGAGTATTTGAAAATGTCATCTGGTGGCTAGTTGATAAGTTAGTGATAGTTCCAGCCTACTTACAAGATTAGCTAGCTCCCTTAATGGGCGGCATTCTCCAAAGGCTTTCAATAGTGTGGTAAGATTCTTTTTTGGATCTGGTCTTGATAGGGCCAAAATCATTGGCTTGTGAGGATTTGTCAAAAAACGCATAACCTGCAGAGATGGTTTGATATTTGAGAGGTGAAAAAGATGCTGATACATGACAAGAAATAATCTAGAAAAGTGGTACTCACTTCTGACCATATTGGTGGGAGTGCTTTCGGAGAAGGCCCATCAGTGTTGGTCAATGGTGTGAGTTCCCCATCAGCTTCATCTTCTTGAACCACCACACTGCTGAAGTCCATTCCAGGAGGAATGACCTGCAAATATTAAGAATCTAAGGTATTCTGGATGGTAATTTAACAATGTTCCTTTGAATTTGGGTATAGATTTTCTTCAAGATCAGAACTTTAGCGGAGCCTCCTCTCCTAGTTTTCAATTCAGTATTAATATTTGTTGTATTCTCATAGGAGGATGTCCAATTATGCAACAGATATATCACACTTATCGAATTTATGCTATAATATTGTTAAACAACCATCTACTCTAAATGCTTGTTAGAGAGGGTGTAACTTAAATATTTATACATAAACACGCCTCCACAGCCTAGATTTTGGGCCTGACACATGGAATTCTTTTAATTATCAGAGTGATAGCGAATTTCGAACAAAGGAAGTCCTGCTCTGCTATCATGTTAAACAACCATCTATTCTAAAAGTTTAAGTTGTTAGAAATGGCGTAACTTAAATATTTATACTTCAACAACTATAAATATTACTTTGACATCTAAAAAACAAGGTTCATAACTAAGTCAAAAGCACAATGGTCGAACACCATTCCTCCTCAAAGTTGATTCTTTTGGGACATCAAGTGATATGAAAGGGGAGTTTGGAATAAATGTTTGCGAGAACAAGCAATGTCAAATGTGCATAATAGGAAATAAAAGAAACATTAAATGTTAAATTTTTTGTCTATTTCAACTTCAGTCTATTCTAATTCACCTTAAAAAATCCAAAAACAATCTCATATAGGAAATTAATAATTTCCAAAAAAGCACTCTTACCGCCATCCTTGGCATGTACCGGCCATGGCAATGAACCCCTCGTCTAGCACGCGCCCTCAAAACTTTCTCAAGCTTTACATCAAACCCATCGTAGAGACCCCACTGTTCGTCGATCTCCTGCTTGGTGCTTGTGATGACTAGTTCAGCAGCATCAAGTGAAAGCTCTTCTGCTTCTATCCTCCTCATAATTTTATATGTTGAATTAATATCCTCTTTTGACTGCCTCCCTTGCTTAAGAAGCTGCTCTAGCTTGTTTCTTCCAAGCGAGTGTCCTGTTAGAACCATTGGGATATTTAAAGCACCTGAAAGAAGAGCGGCACTATCCCCTGCATCCGCATAATGGCCATGAATTACGTAAGGCCAAACGGGCTGACCCTCACCAACTTGTTCACCCAAAACTTTAGACATATTAAGAATGTGCGCTAGAGCTCCATCTACAAATTCTTGAACATGAGGCCACAGCAATTCCTTTCGTAGGTATTTGTCACGAGGACCAAATGGTATCCTTATAATGTAAGCCCCACTGCTTTCTCCCACATCGTTTGCATCACCATCCTCAGGACCTGCAGTAAGCATTTCCGTGGGCTCTGCATAGCTCCAATCCACTTCAGGTGAGGAGATTTGACGGGTGAATAGATCCACCCTATACACCCCTGGCATTTTGGCAAGTGCCCGAGCAAGCTCTACCACATACTTGATCTGCAATTTGTACGAAATCAGGTGATATCTGTGAGATGACAAGAATTATACAAGTAGTTATATGTATAAGGAGGACATTATAGTTATTACAAGGAAGAGGCTACATTTACCTGGCCACCAGTATCAGAATCACGACCAAGCTCCATATTATCTCCACGGACCAAACCATGCAAACTGGTTAAGAAAACAAACAATTACGAACTTGGCACTTCGAAGCATTTGGTCAAGTAATTTAATGCTGGCAATAGCTTACACCAGTGGTGTAAAGGATTTACTATGGAGTAACTACTATATATAATTTCTTCAAAACATCTACTTAAGCTGCCAATTTGGTTATTTGAACAGTAGGACTTTTGAAGTGGTTTAGCAACATGAAAGGAAAAAACAAAGTTGTTTACGAATGCAAATCAACAAGGCCACTGCAGAAACATAAAATGTCGATAAAAATGTTGTGGTACAATTGCAGCATCTAAATCCTGTTCTTAGCATCCAAAAGGAGGATTAGAAATTAATCTGAAATAGGGCAATAAGTATTATTATCAGAGTGGCTGTTGGAACTTGGTATTAACTATTCTTTGAAGCAGATTGTTAAACCAGCTTAGTGATCTGTATGTCATATATGATTGTCAAACTTACAAATGACATATAAATCTCACAAAATGATTGGAAGAAGAAACATATCAACTTGAAAGACAATTAACATTGATGAAACAGTAATTTGGCAGAAATCCTCAAAGCATGTTCTGCGTTCAATAATATAGAAAAGGTGTACCTAATTAGAACAATGTAAAGTTTCTTCTCCTTGTTGTTGTCCGACCATACTTCCAAGTTGGAGAAGTTTCGTTGGAACTTTTTCCTCGGGCTGTCAATTGATATTGCCTCTCCCAGAACATCTCCCTTCTCTCCCTCAGATAAATCTTCAGACATGTCCTCAGTCACATCTCTACGTCCTTGTTCCCGTTCCCACCTCCGATTTGCTAACCGTTGGAAATCTTCCCATTCCAACTATCAAAGAAAGCAAATGCACTATGTTAAGTCTTGCAGCATATTCCCCTTAAGATTAACATACTGTATGGTTGGCATACAAAACGCTCATTTATATTCCGAGTCCAAGACCAAGCAAAATTCTCTCGCAAAAGCATATCTAGGTCGCCTGCTGAACAAAATCTTAATCAATCTCACTTCTAGTTTTCATTATATCTTTTGCGTGTTTACTCTAAAACTTTCAATTTCAATGGCCATTACTTGCAACTGATTAGTTGAAACACAAAGTGGAAAACAGATAAATTGGGCTGATTTGGATAAGGGTGTACGTTAAACACTGTAATCAGAGCACTGCTCAAAAACATGAACATCACAAATGACCACAACATTAGTTCTCCCATTAAGAAAATCGTAGACGATTGCATGTACATTCCAATAGGCAAAAACATAGTGAAATTTCTTCCAAAACTCTGCCTTCTACGCTATTAACTGGTTTCTGGAAAGGAATTTTAGTGATGAAAACAATCTCAATTGAATACACTCTGTATGATGGGACAGAAATGGACGCGGCTAATACATAAAACTAAGATGCCAGGCATAATTAATCACATCAATATGAATGGTTGAATTTGTAGGTCTCGGTAACTACATTTCGCATCCGAGGACTATCTATATACTACACCATTTGACATACAATATTTGGTGGACACCACATTAATCCTAAATTTTTATCCAACTGCACACAAAGTTTAGTGACAAAACTAGGCAGTTACATATATATTAACCTTTCTAATGGAGCACTGGTCCTCTCTCTCTGTCTCTCTGTCTCTCTCTCTCACACACACACACACACAAACAAAATAGATGTGGCATTTATTATTGGAAACATAGATTTTGTCTGCACATAGGATTGCAGCTGTAGAGAACAGTTTCCAACATAAAACATGTACAGCACTACCCATTGCTAAACTGCAGCATGGAAAATTAATTACAAGTTCTCTGTACTCGTAATCTTACTAAAATTGGTATGTGAAGCCATTACTCAACTACAGCCAAAGTAATATAAGTCCCATCTTTTGTACTACACACACATGTATACTCCCAAAACTAGCCAAGACGTTAGGGCATCTCTAACTCTTACTCAAATTTAAATTTGAGTAAAAAAGTCTAAAAAACTTGTTCCAACCCATGATTGGGGATGCTCTTACATATATAAATATGGGTTAATAACATTTTTGGACCCTAAAATATTCCCGTTTTGTTAGATTGGTTCTCAACATATCAATTTTATTAATTTTGTCCATAAAGTATTTAATTCGTATTTAAATGATCCCTACAATGACTGGTTGATGAAAATGATCAGTTGAACACATGTTGCTGTATCAAAGAATGACAAGTGGTCACTTTCGTAAAAAAAAAACTAATAGTCTATTTGTGTAGAGACTATTTAAACACAAATTAGAAATTTAAGGGATTAAATTGATAAAATTAATATATTGAGGATCAAACTGACAAAACTGCTATTTACCCTCTCTCTCTCTCTCTCTCTGTATATATATATATATATATATCCATTGAGAGAGATTTTAATTGCCACCCATTTATCAGAATCCTATCATCTAGCTCCAAAATTTTAAAACTGAGAAAATCCCGCTGACAGTTCCCCAACAGATACACACACATATATATAATTATATATATGTATATATATACAGAGAGAGAGACCCATCTCATGAATCAACAACTCCATCCAATTTTTTAATCCCTTCTTTTCTGGGCAAAATCAAGATTCCCATTTGGTGTCACCCATTTTCGTAAGCACAAATATACATATCATAGATATAACAGCAACCTATCTTCCTAGGGAAAAAAATCAACAACCTCACTGATTCACACTGCACATACATATATCTGCATGTATATGGGTGCACACACACACACACACACACACATATATATATATATATATGTATATATAGAGAGAGGCATAGATATAAAAAAACCTGTTTCTTTTTGCGGGCAAGATGCCAAATACGCCAGCACATGTTCTCGAGTCTGGAACTCCTCTCCCTGGTGTTTCTTGTGGCCACCACCTTAATCCATGTCCTGTGAAGATCAGTCTCATCAACCCCAGTCACAACTTCCTCCACAAAGTACTTGGTGGGATTAAAATCCCCTCTCTCTCTCAAGTTCACTTGTGTTGACTTCTCCTCTATAGCCGAAGCACCACTGTCCAATATTGCCTCCAAGTACCCATTTATCCACTCGTTCCCCGCCATTTTCCCTCACTTTCTCACCTACTTTTTCCGAGAAAAAAATAATAATGGGTTTCACGTTAAACAGATGAACTTATGCATCAGAGAAAAAAGAATAAATTTTGTTAGACACTGTGAGTCCCTGTGTATGTGCGTGTGACTGGGTGAAGAGGAGAGAGATTGGTGGAGATTTGGAGGGAGAAAACGTATGGCGGTTGATTGTGGGACAGGGATTGAACACGTGTAATGCGGATCTGAAGTTTAATGGGTCTTTATAATGCACACACCTGTTAAGTTTAGGGGGTGGGATTTTACACTTCTCTCGAAGTTGTCCGGTTCCCAATGCGAGGTGGGCGCTTTGGTATTTCAAGGCAAAAGGATGTTAAAGATTGTTTGAATTTTAATTTATACGTGATAAAAATTTTTAATTTATATTTTTAAAAATAAAAATTTGTATTAATATGTACTTAAAATAAATTACTGTCAGTTTGCTATTTAAAATTAAATTGATAAATTATATTTAGATTCTCTCATGCTTGTCACTTAATTATTTGTACTCTTTCGTATTTACAATATTACTCATGTATCTCATGATATTTGTGCACGTGTAATACGCAACTTCTTTTCATTGATATTTATTAATATAACTGTTAAAAAAATATGATTTTACTATAATAAAAAATTATAATTTCATATTACCCTTTATTTTATGGGTCCGATATACTCTAAAGTTCAAAATCAAACTTATCATTTGAATGTCCAATAGTATGTAGATATTTATATAATGTTTTTTTATATCCAATGTAATATAACATTCAATGTGCAACCCTTTATTCTATTAGACATTCAAATGGTAACTAAAATGAGTTACGTGCACAAACGTCATGAGATGTAGGAGTAATATTATAAATGTAAAGAGGTCTAAATGATTAAATGACAAGTATGAGGGGATCTAAGTATAATTTATCAATTTAGTTTTAAGTAGCAAATGGAAGACGGTTAGTTTTAAGTGCATATTGATACAAATTTCTATCTTTAAATGTGCAAATTGAGAAAATTTTTATTTTTGAGGGTGCACATTGATACAAATTTTCATCTTTAAGGGTGTAAATTAAAATTTTTTATCTTTGAATATGTAAATTGACATTCCCTAAAATATAGCCTAAATTTGATCCTTGAGAAAGAGACTTGGTTGGCATTCGAGATAGGAGTGATATTCAAGGTGTAAGAGTTGCAAACTAGGATCCAATGGAGCGTATGAGCATACGTAGAAGCGTCATAGTTGCAGTGCCCCCGAGCCAATGCATACTACGAATCCCCTATCGCTCATGGAGTGTTTTTTGAGGTACACACAAAATTGCTTGCTTAAGGAACATTTCACAATCAGTCTTCTAACTGGCAATCCAAATTTCTCAACATCTCATATGTTATCATGGATCATCGACCCTTTCTTTAGGAGTGTCTTCGAATCCCAATCAGGTCCATTCCAATGGACAGAAATCTAAGCCTTTGAAGCTCCACCTAAAGCCTAAGCTAACATTCGTGCTCGTCCATCCATATTGCCCCATTCTTCTTTGAAGAGAATCATAGGCCTGTTTGGTTTATATTTTAAAAAATAATATCTGAAAACAGTTTTTGAGAAGAATTTTAAGAAAGTGTGTTTTGATATTTTTGATATAAAAATCTTATTTGATTAGATGATTTCAAAAATAATTTTACATAACAGAAAATAGTAAAACATGTTTAGACAATTTAAGTACATGTTTGAACAGTAATTTAAAAATTAATAAAAAAATATAAGAAAATTATTTCTAGATTGATAATTTCGTAAAAAAAATTCAATAAACCAAACATATTCAATAATCTTCATTAAAAATAAAATTAATACTCTCTCTGTTCCTAAATATCTGTCGTTTACACAATTTTTTTTGTAATATAATATCTATCGTTTAATGTATTCAAAACATAATTAATATTTTTTTTCTAAATTTACCTTTAACTTTTCAATGCATTAGATTAAGTGGAGGCTAAGTGCCTTTCATATTCATTTTCTTCTCAATACGTATTGAATAAGGGTATTTTAGTCTTAGATAATTATTTTTTACTCATATTGGAGCTATTTAATAGCTTCCTTAATTTTTGTGTAAAAACCTTAAAGGACAGATATTTAGGAACGGAGGGAATATAAAAAAATATATCAATGACCTTCATCTAAAACAAAAAAAAATATAGGAACACCAATGATTTTTTTTTCAAAATAAAAAACAAATAACAACAAAGAACACTCACACAATATATATATATATACACACACACGCACACATATCGCCCAAGAAACACACCCATCACACACACACACACACATTATATATATATATATACATATATACACAGAGTTACACAATACATGCACACACACAATCCATATACACAAAATTCACACAATACATGCACACACACAACCCATATACACAAAATCCACACACACACACACACACAATCCATATATATATATACGCACACACAGTCATGCAATACACACATCGCCCAGATTTGAAGAAGATCAACACATATTTGAACCCAGATTTGAAGGACGTTGGAGCCGACCCCGGAGCAAACACAGATCTGAACCTAGATTTCGTCTGGTTTTCACCGAAGTGTGGAGAGAGAAAGACGAGAGAGCGAGAGAGAGCCAAAAAAAAGAGAAAGACAATAATTTTTTTTTTTATAGTTGGATATGTTTTGTTGCTAAGAAGGTTTGAAGTGAAAACCTCATTAATGAGGAATGGGCTATTCTCACTTCTCCGTGTTCTCTTATTTTCCTTTCTTTTGTCTGTAAAACAAAAAAAACAAGCAGAACTTATTTTCAATTTTTCGTTTTTTATATCCATCCTTTCTCAAAATTTGGAGAACAAAAATCCAAACCAAATAAATTTGTCTTGTTTTTTAAAAATTTGAGATCAAAAAATTGTTTTCAAAACTCAAACCAAATAAGCTCTTAGTTTGTTGTCTCAAGACGACCATTTCACCTCTTGATCTCTTGGGCCAGTCAAGCAGCGGCATACTATTAGTGGACTCTACCTTTGTACATATCCAATGACTTTCGAACTTATCGTTTCAAATTTCCGATTCTCCTTTGAGCCTTGTGATGCAGCTCTTGTCTTGTGGAGTATGATCCATACATTTTCTTTTACATTTTTGGGAATTTTTACGGTATTGTGGATAATATCGCTATCGAAAGTTATAATTTTTTAAGGTTAAGTTATACTTTTTTTAATATACAAGTTANATATATATATATATATATATCCATTGAGAGAGATTTTAATTGCCACCCATTTATCAGAATCCTATCATCTAGCTCCAAAATTTTAAAACTGAGAAAATCCCGCTGACAGTTCCCCAACAGATACACACACATATATATAATTATATATATGTATATATATACAGAGAGAGAGACCCATCTCATGAATCAACAACTCCATCCAATTTTTTAATCCCTTCTTTTCTGGGCAAAATCAAGATTCCCATTTGGTGTCACCCATTTTCGTAAGCACAAATATACATATCATAGATATAACAGCAACCTATCTTCCTAGGGAAAAAAATCAACAACCTCACTGATTCACACTGCACATACATATATCTGCATGTATATGGGTGCACACACACACACACACACACACATATATATATATATATATGTATATATAGAGAGAGGCATAGATATAAAAAAACCTGTTTCTTTTTGCGGGCAAGATGCCAAATACGCCAGCACATGTTCTCGAGTCTGGAACTCCTCTCCCTGGTGTTTCTTGTGGCCACCACCTTAATCCATGTCCTGTGAAGATCAGTCTCATCAACCCCAGTCACAACTTCCTCCACAAAGTACTTGGTGGGATTAAAATCCCCTCTCTCTCTCAAGTTCACTTGTGTTGACTTCTCCTCTATAGCCGAAGCACCACTGTCCAATATTGCCTCCAAGTACCCATTTATCCACTCGTTCCCCGCCATTTTCCCTCACTTTCTCACCTACTTTTTCCGAGAAAAAAATAATAATGGGTTTCACGTTAAACAGATGAACTTATGCATCAGAGAAAAAAGAATAAATTTTGTTAGACACTGTGAGTCCCTGTGTATGTGCGTGTGACTGGGTGAAGAGGAGAGAGATTGGTGGAGATTTGGAGGGAGAAAACGTATGGCGGTTGATTGTGGGACAGGGATTGAACACGTGTAATGCGGATCTGAAGTTTAATGGGTCTTTATAATGCACACACCTGTTAAGTTTAGGGGGTGGGATTTTACACTTCTCTCGAAGTTGTCCGGTTCCCAATGCGAGGTGGGCGCTTTGGTATTTCAAGGCAAAAGGATGTTAAAGATTGTTTGAATTTTAATTTATACGTGATAAAAATTTTTAATTTATATTTTTAAAAATAAAAATTTGTATTAATATGTACTTAAAATAAATTACTGTCAGTTTGCTATTTAAAATTAAATTGATAAATTATATTTAGATTCTCTCATGCTTGTCACTTAATTATTTGTACTCTTTCGTATTTACAATATTACTCATGTATCTCATGATATTTGTGCACGTGTAATACGCAACTTCTTTTCATTGATATTTATTAATATAACTGTTAAAAAAATATGATTTTACTATAATAAAAAATTATAATTTCATATTACCCTTTATTTTATGGGTCCGATATACTCTAAAGTTCAAAATCAAACTTATCATTTGAATGTCCAATAGTATGTAGATATTTATATAATGTTTTTTTATATCCAATGTAATATAACATTCAATGTGCAACCCTTTATTCTATTAGACATTCAAATGGTAACTAAAATGAGTTACGTGCACAAACGTCATGAGATGTAGGAGTAATATTATAAATGTAAAGAGGTCTAAATGATTAAATGACAAGTATGAGGGGATCTAAGTATAATTTATCAATTTAGTTTTAAGTAGCAAATGGAAGACGGTTAGTTTTAAGTGCATATTGATACAAATTTCTATCTTTAAATGTGCAAATTGAGAAAATTTTTATTTTTGAGGGTGCACATTGATACAAATTTTCATCTTTAAGGGTGTAAATTAAAATTTTTTATCTTTGAATATGTAAATTGACATTCCCTAAAATATAGCCTAAATTTGATCCTTGAGAAAGAGACTTGGTTGGCATTCGAGATAGGAGTGATATTCAAGGTGTAAGAGTTGCAAACTAGGATCCAATGGAGCGTATGAGCATACGTAGAAGCGTCATAGTTGCAGTGCCCCCGAGCCAATGCATACTACGAATCCCCTATCGCTCATGGAGTGTTTTTTGAGGTACACACAAAATTGCTTGCTTAAGGAACATTTCACAATCAGTCTTCTAACTGGCAATCCAAATTTCTCAACATCTCATATGTTATCATGGATCATCGACCCTTTCTTTAGGAGTGTCTTCGAATCCCAATCAGGTCCATTCCAATGGACAGAAATCTAAGCCTTTGAAGCTCCACCTAAAGCCTAAGCTAACATTCGTGCTCGTCCATCCATATTGCCCCATTCTTCTTTGAAGAGAATCATAGGCCTGTTTGGTTTATATTTTAAAAAATAATATCTGAAAACAGTTTTTGAGAAGAATTTTAAGAAAGTGTGTTTTGATATTTTTGATATAAAAATCTTATTTGATTAGATGATTTCAAAAATAATTTTACATAACAGAAAATAGTAAAACATGTTTAGACAATTTAAGTACATGTTTGAACAGTAATTTAAAAATTAATAAAAAAATATAAGAAAATTATTTCTAGATTGATAATTTCGTAAAAAAAATTCAATAAACCAAACATATTCAATAATCTTCATTAAAAATAAAATTAATACTCTCTCTGTTCCTAAATATCTGTCGTTTACACAATTTTTTTTGTAATATAATATCTATCGTTTAATGTATTCAAAACATAATTAATATTTTTTTTCTAAATTTACCTTTAACTTTTCAATGCATTAGATTAAGTGGAGGCTAAGTGCCTTTCATATTCATTTTCTTCTCAATACGTATTGAATAAGGGTATTTTAGTCTTAGATAATTATTTTTTACTCATATTGGAGCTATTTAATAGCTTCCTTAATTTTTGTGTAAAAACCTTAAAGGACAGATATTTAGGAACGGAGGGAATATAAAAAAATATATCAATGACCTTCATCTAAAACAAAAAAAAATATAGGAACACCAATGATTTTTTTTTCAAAATAAAAAACAAATAACAACAAAGAACACTCACACAATATATATATATATACACACACACGCACACATATCGCCCAAGAAACACACCCATCACACACACACACACACATTATATATATATATATACATATATACACAGAGTTACACAATACATGCACACACACAATCCATATACACAAAATTCACACAATACATGCACACACACAACCCATATACACAAAATCCACACACACACACACACACAATCCATATATATATATACGCACACACAGTCATGCAATACACACATCGCCCAGATTTGAAGAAGATCAACACATATTTGAACCCAGATTTGAAGGACGTTGGAGCCGACCCCGGAGCAAACACAGATCTGAACCTAGATTTCGTCTGGTTTTCACCGAAGTGTGGAGAGAGAAAGACGAGAGAGCGAGAGAGAGCCAAAAAAAAGAGAAAGACAATAATTTTTTTTTTTATAGTTGGATATGTTTTGTTGCTAAGAAGGTTTGAAGTGAAAACCTCATTAATGAGGAATGGGCTATTCTCACTTCTCCGTGTTCTCTTATTTTCCTTTCTTTTGTCTGTAAAACAAAAAAAACAAGCAGAACTTATTTTCAATTTTTCGTTTTTTATATCCATCCTTTCTCAAAATTTGGAGAACAAAAATCCAAACCAAATAAATTTGTCTTGTTTTTTAAAAATTTGAGATCAAAAAATTGTTTTCAAAACTCAAACCAAATAAGCTCTTAGTTTGTTGTCTCAAGACGACCATTTCACCTCTTGATCTCTTGGGCCAGTCAAGCAGCGGCATACTATTAGTGGACTCTACCTTTGTACATATCCAATGACTTTCGAACTTATCGTTTCAAATTTCCGATTCTCCTTTGAGCCTTGTGATGCAGCTCTTGTCTTGTGGAGTATGATCCATACATTTTCTTTTACATTTTTGGGAATTTTTACGGTATTGTGGATAATATCGCTATCGAAAGTTATAATTTTTTAAGGTTAAGTTATACTTTTTTTAATATACAAGTTATAATTTTAAAAGACATGATCGATTATGGAATATTGGGATCGGTACCGCATTTTTCATGATTGATCATGANCGCTGACAGTTCCCCAACAGATACACACACATATATATAATTATATATATGTATATATATACAGAGAGAGAGACCCATCTCATGAATCAACAACTCCATCCAATTTTTTAATCCCTTCTTTTCTGGGCAAAATCAAGATTCCCATTTGGTGTCACCCATTTTCGTAAGCACAAATATACATATCATAGATATAACAGCAACCTATCTTCCTAGGGAAAAAAATCAACAACCTCACTGATTCACACTGCACATACATATATCTGCATGTATATGGGTGCACACACACACACACACACACACATATATATATATATATATGTATATATAGAGAGAGGCATAGATATAAAAAAACCTGTTTCTTTTTGCGGGCAAGATGCCAAATACGCCAGCACATGTTCTCGAGTCTGGAACTCCTCTCCCTGGTGTTTCTTGTGGCCACCACCTTAATCCATGTCCTGTGAAGATCAGTCTCATCAACCCCAGTCACAACTTCCTCCACAAAGTACTTGGTGGGATTAAAATCCCCTCTCTCTCTCAAGTTCACTTGTGTTGACTTCTCCTCTATAGCCGAAGCACCACTGTCCAATATTGCCTCCAAGTACCCATTTATCCACTCGTTCCCCGCCATTTTCCCTCACTTTCTCACCTACTTTTTCCGAGAAAAAAATAATAATGGGTTTCACGTTAAACAGATGAACTTATGCATCAGAGAAAAAAGAATAAATTTTGTTAGACACTGTGAGTCCCTGTGTATGTGCGTGTGACTGGGTGAAGAGGAGAGAGATTGGTGGAGATTTGGAGGGAGAAAACGTATGGCGGTTGATTGTGGGACAGGGATTGAACACGTGTAATGCGGATCTGAAGTTTAATGGGTCTTTATAATGCACACACCTGTTAAGTTTAGGGGGTGGGATTTTACACTTCTCTCGAAGTTGTCCGGTTCCCAATGCGAGGTGGGCGCTTTGGTATTTCAAGGCAAAAGGATGTTAAAGATTGTTTGAATTTTAATTTATACGTGATAAAAATTTTTAATTTATATTTTTAAAAATAAAAATTTGTATTAATATGTACTTAAAATAAATTACTGTCAGTTTGCTATTTAAAATTAAATTGATAAATTATATTTAGATTCTCTCATGCTTGTCACTTAATTATTTGTACTCTTTCGTATTTACAATATTACTCATGTATCTCATGATATTTGTGCACGTGTAATACGCAACTTCTTTTCATTGATATTTATTAATATAACTGTTAAAAAAATATGATTTTACTATAATAAAAAATTATAATTTCATATTACCCTTTATTTTATGGGTCCGATATACTCTAAAGTTCAAAATCAAACTTATCATTTGAATGTCCAATAGTATGTAGATATTTATATAATGTTTTTTTATATCCAATGTAATATAACATTCAATGTGCAACCCTTTATTCTATTAGACATTCAAATGGTAACTAAAATGAGTTACGTGCACAAACGTCATGAGATGTAGGAGTAATATTATAAATGTAAAGAGGTCTAAATGATTAAATGACAAGTATGAGGGGATCTAAGTATAATTTATCAATTTAGTTTTAAGTAGCAAATGGAAGACGGTTAGTTTTAAGTGCATATTGATACAAATTTCTATCTTTAAATGTGCAAATTGAGAAAATTTTTATTTTTGAGGGTGCACATTGATACAAATTTTCATCTTTAAGGGTGTAAATTAAAATTTTTTATCTTTGAATATGTAAATTGACATTCCCTAAAATATAGCCTAAATTTGATCCTTGAGAAAGAGACTTGGTTGGCATTCGAGATAGGAGTGATATTCAAGGTGTAAGAGTTGCAAACTAGGATCCAATGGAGCGTATGAGCATACGTAGAAGCGTCATAGTTGCAGTGCCCCCGAGCCAATGCATACTACGAATCCCCTATCGCTCATGGAGTGTTTTTTGAGGTACACACAAAATTGCTTGCTTAAGGAACATTTCACAATCAGTCTTCTAACTGGCAATCCAAATTTCTCAACATCTCATATGTTATCATGGATCATCGACCCTTTCTTTAGGAGTGTCTTCGAATCCCAATCAGGTCCATTCCAATGGACAGAAATCTAAGCCTTTGAAGCTCCACCTAAAGCCTAAGCTAACATTCATGCTCGTCCATCCATACTGCCCCATTCTTCCTTGAAGAGAATCATAGGCCTGTTTGGTTTGTATTTTAAAAAATAATATCCGAAAACAGTTTTTGAGAAGAATTTTAAGAAAGTGTGTTAAGATATTTTTGATATAAAAATCTTATTTGATTAGATGATTTCAAAAATAATTTTACATAACAAAAAATAGTAAAACCTGTTTAGACAATTTAAATATATGTTTGAACAGTAATTTAAAAATTAATAAAAAAATAGAAGAAAATTATTTCTAGATTGATAATTTCGTAAAAAAAATTCAATAAACCAAACATATTCAATAATCTTCATTAAAAATAAAATTAATACTCCCTCTGTTCCTAAATATCTGTTGTTTTATACAATTTTTTTTGTAATATAATATCTATCGTTTAATGTATTCAAAACATAATTAATATTTTTTTTCTAAATTTACCCTTAATTTTTCAATGCATTAGATTAAGTGGAGACTAAGTGCCTTTCATATTCATTTTCTTCCCAATACGTATTGAATAAGGGTATTTTAGTCTTAGGTAATTATTTTTTACTCATATTAGAGCTATTTAATAGCTTCCTTAATTTTTGTGTAAAAACCTTAAACGACAGATATTTAAGAACGGAGGGAATATAAAAAAATATATCAATGACCTTCATCTAAAACAAAAAAAAATATAGGAACACCATATATATATACACACACACACACACATCGCCCAAGAAACACACCCATCACACACACACACACATTATATATATATATATATACATATATACACAGAGTTACACAATACATGCACACACACAATCCATATACATAAAATTCACACAATACATGCACACACACAACCCATATACACAAAATCCACACACACACACACAATCCATATATATATATATACACACATCGCCCAGATTTGAAGAAGATCAACACATATTTGAACCCAGATTTGAAGGACGTTGGAGCCGACCCCGGAGCAAACACAGATCTGAACCTAGATTTCGTCTGGTTTTCACCGAAGTGTGGAGAGAGAAAGACGAGAGAGCGAGAGAGAGCCAAAAAAAAGAGAAAGACAATAATTTTTTTTTTTTATAGTTGGATATGTTTTGTTGCTAAGAAGGTTTGAAGTGAAAACCTCATTAATGAGGAATGGGCTATTCTCACTTCTCCGTGTTCTCTCATTTTCCTTTCTTTTGTCTGTAAAACACAAAAAACAAGCAGAGCTTGTTTTCCATTTTTTGTTTTTTATATCCATCTTTTCTCAAAATTTGGAGAACAAAAATCCAAACCAAATAAATTTGTCTTGTTTTTTAAAAATTTGAGATCAAAAAATTATTTTCAAAACTCAAACCAAATAAACTTAGTTTGTTGTCTCAAGACGACCATTTCACCTCTTGATCCCTTGGGCCAGTCAAGCAGCGGCATACTATTAGTGGACTCTACCTTTGTACATATCCAATGACTTTCGAACTTATCGTTTCAAATTTCCGATTCTCCTTTGAGCCTTGTGATGCAGCTCTTGTCTTGTGGAGTATGATCCATACATTTTCTTTTACATTTTTGGGAATTTTTACGGTATTGTGGATAATATCGCTATCGAAAGTTATAATTTTTTAAGGTTAAGTTATACTTTTTTTAATATACAAGTTAAAATTTTAAAAGACATGATCGATCATGAAATATTGGGATCGGTACCGCATTTTTCATGATTGATCATGGATGTCTATGATTGATTATGACTTCCTTTTAACAGTTCTAACTTCTTTTTTAAAAATTTTAATTTTACCATACAAAATAATAATTGACGGTACCGATACTAATTTTTTTTTGGGTACAGCAGAGTTTCCCTACATTTTCACATATTTGTACTATTTGTAAAAGCTGACTATGTATTATATATTCTTCTTTTACTGAGGTTTCTAATATGTACTGATGCTATTACTTAGTGATTAATTTAAATAATATACTTGGAGGTACAACCTATTTTACAGGAGAAAAAATAAAATAATATTGTTTTATTTTTTTTTAGTTTTAAATATTTTTTTTTCGTAGCACTTTTTGTTCTCCTTTTCTTTGCATGGGGTTGATGCATTTCTTCTAGNATCCATGTCCTGTGAAGATCAGTCTCATCAACCCCAGTCACAACTTCCTCCACAAAGTACTTGGTGGGATTAAAATCCCCTCTCTCTCTCAAGTTCACTTGTGTTGACTTCTCCTCTATAGCCGAAGCACCACTGTCCAATATTGCCTCCAAGTACCCATTTATCCACTCGTTCCCCGCCATTTTCCCTCACTTTCTCACCTACTTTTTCCGAGAAAAAAATAATAATGGGTTTCACGTTAAACAGATGAACTTATGCATCAGAGAAAAAAGAATAAATTTTGTTAGACACTGTGAGTCCCTGTGTATGTGCGTGTGACTGGGTGAAGAGGAGAGAGATTGGTGGAGATTTGGAGGGAGAAAACGTATGGCGGTTGATTGTGGGACAGGGATTGAACACGTGTAATGCGGATCTGAAGTTTAATGGGTCTTTATAATGCACACACCTGTTAAGTTTAGGGGGTGGGATTTTACACTTCTCTCGAAGTTGTCCGGTTCCCAATGCGAGGTGGGCGCTTTGGTATTTCAAGGCAAAAGGATGTTAAAGATTGTTTGAATTTTAATTTATACGTGATAAAAATTTTTAATTTATATTTTTAAAAATAAAAATTTGTATTAATATGTACTTAAAATAAATTACTGTCAGTTTGCTATTTAAAATTAAATTGATAAATTATATTTAGATTCTCTCATGCTTGTCACTTAATTATTTGTACTCTTTCGTATTTACAATATTACTCATGTATCTCATGATATTTGTGCACGTGTAATACGCAACTTCTTTTCATTGATATTTATTAATATAACTGTTAAAAAAATATGATTTTACTATAATAAAAAATTATAATTTCATATTACCCTTTATTTTATGGGTCCGATATACTCTAAAGTTCAAAATCAAACTTATCATTTGAATGTCCAATAGTATGTAGATATTTATATAATGTTTTTTTATATCCAATGTAATATAACATTCAATGTGCAACCCTTTATTCTATTAGACATTCAAATGGTAACTAAAATGAGTTACGTGCACAAACGTCATGAGATGTAGGAGTAATATTATAAATGTAAAGAGGTCTAAATGATTAAATGACAAGTATGAGGGGATCTAAGTATAATTTATCAATTTAGTTTTAAGTAGCAAATGGAAGACGGTTAGTTTTAAGTGCATATTGATACAAATTTCTATCTTTAAATGTGCAAATTGAGAAAATTTTTATTTTTGAGGGTGCACATTGATACAAATTTTCATCTTTAAGGGTGTAAATTAAAATTTTTTATCTTTGAATATGTAAATTGACATTCCCTAAAATATAGCCTAAATTTGATCCTTGAGAAAGAGACTTGGTTGGCATTCGAGATAG